CCTCCAATCCAGATTGATGTACCTTGCAAAACTATCTTTCAAAATTGATGGAGAAATAAGATACTTTCATGACAAAGAACACCTTAGGAACTTCATGATACCAAACCAGCACTCCAAAAAATTTTAGACAATATCCTAGGAAAAGACAAAGAGGATCACAACCCCAGGAAGCCCAGCAGAATGAATCCATCAGGCACGGCAAGAAATTAAACACAAAGGGGGAGAATCCAACAAAAAGAAAAAGTCTTGACAATGATAAGTCAATACATATCAGTTATAACCATGAATGTTAATGGTCTTAATTCACCAATCAAAAGAAATAGACTGGCAGAATGGATCAAGAAGCAAGATCCAACAATATGCTGCATACAAGAAACACAATTAATTCAAAAAGAAACTCATAGACTGAAAGTTAAAGAGTGGAAAACAATACTGCATGCGACAGGAACCTGAAAAAAATCAGGAGTAGCTATCCTCTTTGCAGATCAAGTGGATTTCAAACCCACACTGATTAAGAGAGACAAAGAAGGACACTACCTCCTTGTAAAGGGAACAATCCAAGAGGAAGAGATGACGATCATAAATATATATGCACCAAACATTAGTGCACCCAACTAAATAAAACAAATATTAACAGACATGAAAAATTAAATAAGCACTAATACAATAGTAGTAGGGGACCTCAATACCCCACTGTCACAAATAGATAGATCAACTAGACAAAAACTAGAACTCAATCAAACTCTTGAACAAATGAACTTAACAGATGTTTACAGTGTTCCACCCCACAAAATCAGAATACACATTTTTTTCAGCTGCACATGGGTCGTTCTCCAAAATAGACCACAGACTCGCTCATAGAACATGTTTAAGCAAGTGTAAAGGAACTGAAGTTATCCCCTGTGTATTATGAGACCACAGTGCAAAGTATTTGCAGATCAACAGCAAAAGAAACTGCAAAAAATCTCATAAACATATGGAAATTGAACAACAAACGTCTGAATAACCAATGGGTCACAGAGGAAATTAAAGAAGAAACCAGCCAGTTCCTTCAATTAAATGACAATGACAATACAACATATCGGAATCTATCGGACACAATGAAAGCAGTCTTACAAAGGAAATTTATAGCAGTGACTACTCATATTAGGAAAACAGAGTGAGCCCAATTAAACAACCTGATGCTGAACCTCAAGCTTCTAGAAAAAGAAGACCAGGACAAACCCAAAGTTCATACAAGGGAGGAAATTATAAAGATCAGAG